ATGGCAAGGTCATTGCCTATGCTTCGCGGCAGTTAAAGATTCATGAGAAGAATTATCCAGTTCATGATTTAGAGCTGGCAGCCATAGTTCATGCATTGAAGACTTGGAGGCATTATCTGTATGGCATGGCATGTAAGGTGTTCACGGATCACAAGAGTTTTCAGTATTTGTTCAAGCAAAAGGAGCTGAATTTGAGGCAGAGGAGGTGGTTGGAGTTGTTGAAGGATTATGATATCACTAACTTATATCACCCAGGAAAGGCCAATGTGGTGGCCGATGCCTTGAGTAGNCGATGGTTTGAGCCGGGAGAGGCTCGATTGTTGGGTACGGATCTGGTTTAGGAGGCTTTGGACAAGGTCAGGATTATTCAGGATAGGCTTTGCACAGCTCAGTCCAGGCAAAAGAGTTATGCAGACCGCAAGGTTCGAGATGTGGCTTTTATGGTTGGAGAGCGGGTATTGCTCCGAGTGTTGCCTATGAAGGGCGTGATGAGATTTGGGGTGGTGTATAGACTTGCATTGCCGTCGAGCTTATCAGCCATGCATCCAGTGTTTCATGGGTCCATGCTTCAGAAATATCACGGCGATCCATCACACGTGTTAGATTTCAGCACTGTCCAGTTGGACAAGGACTTGTCTTATGAGGAGGAGCCGGTAGCTATTCTAGACCGGCAGGTTTGTCAGTTGAGGTCGAAGAGTTTTTCTTCTGTTCGTGTTCAGTGGATAGGTCAGCCTCCTGAGGCATCGACCTGGGAGTCCGAGTCCGATATGCGGAGCCGTTATCCCCATCTTTTCCTTGACTCAGGTACTTCCTTCTTCTATCCGTTCGAGGACGAACAATTGTTTTAAAGGCAGAGAATGTGATGACTTCTGAGGCCTTGAAAATCTCATTTAGAGTCACCTCGATTTGCGTGCACAGTTCGGGCACATAGTCGGAAAGCTTAAATATGATTATCTGTGAAAAACGATAAGTTTTGATCACAGAATGAGCTAATTTAACTTCGGTCAACGTTTTGGGTAAACGGACCCGGACCCGTGATTTGACGGTCCCGGAGGGTCCGTAGGAAAATATGGGACTTGGGCGTATGCCGGGAATCAAATTCTGAGATCCCGAGCCCGAGAAATGAATTTTCAAGGAAAATTATTTTCTGAAATTGTTTAAAGAAATTTGAAATAAAATTGATTATAACATGATGGTATCGGTCCCGTATTTAGGTTTCGGCGCCCGGTACAGGTATTATATATGATTTAAGACATTTTGTGGAATTTGGTGAAAAACGGATGTCATATGATGTGATTTGGACTTAAATTGCAAAGTTGATGTTTAAAGAAGTTTTGAGAAGATTTCATTGATCTTGAGATTTGATTTGATGTTCATGATGTTATTTTGATGATTTGATTACACGAATAACTCCGTAGGATGTTCTTGAGGTTTTGTGTGCACTTGGTTTGGAGTTCCGAGGGCTCGGGTGAGTTTCGGGTAGGCTTCGGGATGTTTTAGGCTTAAAACTAGAAAAAAATTGCAAGTCTCTGAACCCCACCAGTGCGGTCCGCGATCGACCTTGTGCGGTGCGCGGTGAAGGTTGTGCGGCCGCGGTCGGCTTTGTGCGGTCCGCACAGGGCGCTGCAGTACGGTCCGCCGTTGGTTTCGTGCGGAGCGCGGTGGATACGTTTGCGGCCACGGTCCATTTCGTGCGGTCCGTATAGGGTACTGGACCGCAACACTTCAGGAAGGCTTGTGCGACCGCAGTCCATTTTATGCGGTCCGCACAGGGGGTTTGAGAGGGGTATAAATAGACGGGATTTTCAGTCATTTTTCATTTTTCAAAACCCCAAAAACATAAGAGGCGATTTTTCAAACAACCTTTCTTCCCCAAATCAATTATAAGTCGTTTTTAACTAGTTTTCATCAATCATTAACATCTTTTAACATGATTTCAACTTCAAATCAAAGATTTTCATCGGGGAAATTGGGTGTTTTAGGTAGAACCTAGGTTTTTCAAAAATTGGGGATTTGGACCTTGATTTGAGGTCTGATTTAAAAAAAATCATATATTTGGGTTCGTGGGGGAATGGGTAATCGGGTTTTGGTTTGAATCTCAGGTTTGACCATGTGGGCCCGGGGGCGATTTTTGACTTTTTGGGTAAAACTTTGGAAAACTCATTTTCATGCATTGGAGTTGATTCATTTAGCGTTTATTGATGTAGTTAAGTAATTTATGACTAGATACGAGCGAATTGGCGCTGGAAACAAGGGGTAAAGCTATAATTGAAGCTTGGGTTGTGTTCGAGGCATCGAGGTAAGTGTTTGGTCTAACCATAGCTTGAGGGATTAGGAGTTGTGTCCTATTTGCTACTTGTTTTTTGTTGAGTATGACGTATAGGCATGGTGACGAGTATCTATGCGTTGGTGTCAAGCATGACCGTGAGTCTTATCTTGTGATTTTCATGATCTCGTTGTATTATTCATGCCTTGGTGAAGATTTCTATTTGTTGTGTAAAGTTGTGGAAAGAGTTGTGACCTATGAACATTGAGGAGCGTCGACTCCAGTTGTATAACGAATTGTGAAAGTATAAGTGATAATCGAAACTCTAGAGCATTGGCTCGAGTTGTGAAGTGAATTGTGAAGTAAAAGTGAGAAAGAGAAGAGATCATTATGTTGCCCCCTTGCCGGGCTATTGGTGAGTTGAGGTTCCCTTGCATTGTGTTCGTAATTGATATTACGGACGCTTAGGTTGATCATTCTTCGTGTTAGGTGTTGTAACAAGTTTGGTTATAGCTGGGTAGTTAAGTGTTGTAACAAGTTTAGTTATAGGTGAGGTAGTTAGATGTTGAAACTAGTTGAGTTATAGTTGAGATAGTTAGATGTTGGAACAAGTTTGGTTATGGTTGTTTCTCCCTTGTCGGGACGTATATACTTGTACTATTGAGTTCCCTTGCCGGGATAGTGTAGTCAATTGTTGATCCCTTGCCAGGACAGTTAATTATGATTATTGTTGATTGTATATTTGGAACGGGCTGCGCGCCACAACATTATTAGATATTATATTGGATCGGGTTGCACGCCGCAATAGTTATATATGTGGTTCGGGTTGCACGCCACAACAGATATTATATTGGATCGGGTTGCACGCCGCAACAGTTACATATGTGGATCGGGTTGCACGCCGCAACAGTTACATATGTGGATCGGGTTGCACGCGGCAACAATGTTAAATGATAAGGGATCGGGTTGAGCGCCGTAACAGTATTGTCATTGTATTGATTGTAGACATCGAGTGTTCTTTCATACTTTATTAAGCTTCTGATAGAATTGATATGTTTCTCCGAAGCATAATTCCCCCTCCCTTTTAAACTGTTATTACCTATTTATATTTTCGTTGTATATTATATAACTGCACAGGTTTATCTGGAGTCTGGTCCTAGCCTCGTCACTACCTCGCCGGGGTTAGGCCAGACACTTACCAGCATATGGGGTCGGTTGTGCTGATACTACACTCTACACTATGTGCAGATACCGGAGTGGCACTTGATCAGCAGCAGTAGGGGAGCCAGCCTTCAATCCACCGAGACACCGAGGTAGCCTTGCAGGCGTCCGCAGGCCCGGTGTCTCCTCTATCTTTTCTTATGTTCTGTTATCTCATGTATCTGAGACAAACAATGTTATTTTTCCTTTAGACTGTTGTATGTAGTACTCCTAGTAGTCTGTGGATATTGTGACATCAGTTTCTAGATAGAGGCATGTATTGACTTTCGAAACATTCTGGTTTTATATTTATTTAAGACTTCCGCTTAAATCTCATATTCCGCTGTCATGTAGGTGTTTATCACTTGTTAAAATGAATTGTAAAAAGGATTAACATTGAAGAGTTAAAGATTTCTAAGTTTGTGGCTTGCCTAGCATCTACGAGTAGGCGACATCATGACTCCCGAGGGTTGGAACTTCGGGTCGAGACAAACCAACACATCAAAAATGATAAGCCAGCCTATTCGGGACCATGAACATGAAGCTAGCTGGACATAGGTACTCAACCCCAAATGCTCATAAATAATAAAATAAAGACGAAATAAATAAGCATGCAAAAAGGTCTTCTAGTAGTTAAGGACCATTAAATACTACAATCAAATCTTTCTATAACAATATCCCTATATAACAGTCATTCACTATAAAAGTCAAGTTTTCCTCAAATCAATTTTTTAAGTTATATTTTACCTCTACATAACATTTTTTTTTACCTATAATAGCAACAACCATATTTATAAGAGAACGCTCTTTGTAAAATTACCCCTATATAATAGCCATATAGAATCTTTAAGATTACTAATAATTCAAAAAATATCCACACAATCTTTTCCATTAAATAAAGTTTCTATCTTGCATAAGATATAAGATTTGAAGATTTGCACATGATATCTTTTTCATTGGACAAATTTCAAAAAATATTTAGATAAAAAATTTAATTGTTAAGCTCTTAGATTGTCTTCAAGGAAAAACTATTGGATAACTTTTTTCTGAAAATTTGGACACAAATCTTCGCCAATTCAAGCGTTATATCGCTAGTAAGAGAATGAAATCTAAGAAACAAGGTACAATTACAAAGTTCTTTCATCAATCTTGAAAAAATTATTATTTAGGTAGCTTTAGAGTTTAAATTTTTATACTTTTTATTATGCATTTATTAAATAATGCATTAGCTTTATTTAATATTTAACTAGTGAAATATGCATATCTTTTGAGATTTTAAATTTAATAATTTTCTTATCTTTTATGTATAATATTTAAAAAGAAAATTTAATTTTGGATAATTTTTGTCTATAACAGCCAAAATATATTTAAACGTCAAATGTTGTTATAGGTGTATAACAACCATTTACTATAAAAGCCAAAAATATCGAAACAAACGATGTCGTTATAGAGAGGTTTGATCGTAATACTATTTTATTATACACAAATTTATTTTTTATTCAATTTCAATATTCCAACATAAACACCACGGGTATACATAAATGAACATCAATGACATATAAATTTTATTAAGTAAAGCTTTATCAATGGAATCAAGAAATAAGATGAGGAAGGACGGATTTGAACCCCCCTTTTTTTGGACCTTTGATCCAACAAAGTTACAAATTAGGTGATGCATATCTTGATCTTGATCAAATTCATGCATTTACAAGAAGTTGTTGATATATTTTTTAAGAATCTGATTAACAAGAATCCTGTAAGCTTTCTCAGTGGGATGATAACTATCCCAAAATAAATACTTTGTATCATCTTCACATGTTCCACTGAATTTGTTGCATAGTATTGTCACCTCTATTTTTCCTGTGCCACAACACCCTTTCTCTACTTCTTCTAATCCTACAACCAATCCATAATAACAAAATTCATAAAAGCATAATACAAGAAAATAAAGACAAAAATTAATTAGAAGCACGTGTGAAGAAATTATTTTGCACTATCAAATCATCCTAAAATTATCTATTGTTGAAAATATAACAAGTTGTCTGCTACGACAAGTTAAAGGTGATCTGATAGTATAATTTTTTGTAAGAAACTCGTGAATATATAGAAGGGTTATGTGTATCGTACCATATTTTTGGGGGTTGACAATAAGATCGAGTATAGGATTATATATATCGATGAAGACGAGCTTGGATTGAGGTAAGTTTTTGGATAATGAATTAAGTGCAGCAGAGAGTTTGGTGTTGGCCAATTGCGCTGCTTGATTGTATTCTTGAACACATACTCTGTTGAACCCTCCAGCTAGTGTTCTCTGCGATGGCAAACATCCTAGTGGTGGAATTCCGAAAAATCCAATTTTTCTTGCTCCTAACTTGTACAATTCCTTCGACAAAGGAGAAAAAAACAATTGAGTCAATACATACTTACTGAAAAATCAGTCTTTTTAATAATTAGTAATAAACAACTATCCATTCTCTTTATATATAGAGAATTCTTTCCTTTTTCTGATCGTCCAAATTTTAGAACCCATCGGCTCGTGTTATATAAAGCTAGAGTTTATTATTTAAATAATTACTCAACTATCCGAATTTATCTAGTAAAGTCATTTTTCTTTTGTTTGTAACAAAAAAGTCACTTAACTATGCTTATAGCACTCATAATTAAGGTTACTTAACCAGGTTTCTCAAACTTTTAATTATCAAATACCTATTTTACCTTCTAAATTATCAACTTTTTCTTCTTCCTTTTTTTTTTACTTTTAAAATATTATGATATTTTCCTCTTTTTAATCTACATTATGGACTTACTTATAAGACAAATAGATTTTATTTATATAATAAAAATAAAAACTTAATTTTCTAGCATATATAATGTCGGAAACTCGGAATAATAATATAATTGAGCATAATATTCTAGAATATATAATGTATATGATAAAAATACCTTTATTTTAAATAATTTATTTATATTACGTGCATGGAATATATATTATAAAACTTTTAATTTCTTTCATTCTTAATTGTATAAATAATTTTTTGAGATTTTGTTGTTATTATCAAAATTATTATTACGAACAAATGATTCTAGTTAATTTTTTTTTATTATGCTCAATATTTTATTATTCCAACATTATATATGCTTAAATACTATTTTTATTTTTTTAATTTATAAACAAAAATTATTTATTCTATAGCTAAGTCCATAATATAAATTAAACAAAAAAAGAATCATAATATTAAAATATTAAAATAAATAAATAAATAAAAAGAAGACAAAAATTGATAATTTAGAGGGTAAAATAGGTATTTGGCAATCAAAAGTTTGAGAAATCTAGTTGAGTGACATTTTGAGTGCTATAGACATAATTAAGTGACTCTGCAGTTACAAACTAAAAAGGATGACTTTAGTAGGTAATTTTGGATAGTTAATTGACCATTTGAGCAATGACTAAGGTATGTATATACTAACTTGGAGAAATTCAGAAGCTTTGGCCACCATAAAATTAGTATATGAGTTAATATCCTGCTTCAGGCGAATTCCAGCGGAGAAGTAAGTATTGGCAATATCATCACTGCCAGCAACCACCAGGAATAGGCTATTTTCCAAAATATAGTTGGTTTCTTCTTCCCCGACTAACGCTTTCAGCTTCTCAATATATTCTTCGAATTGATTTAATTGTGTTGACAGGGGTATGGCCGCCTGATTATAATAAAATTAAAATAAAAAATAGGACCAAGTGTTAGTGTTTATTTTTTCCTTGTGTTCAGTCAAACATGATCACATGGAAAACGAAAGGAGCAGTAATCAGTAATTGTTAGTTTTAACCTATCGAATAATAATGAGTAAAAAATTACCGCGAGGGTAGTTGTTAAAGGGTCAAATCCACAACCTCCTGATGCAAAGCTTACTCCAGTTTTTAGATCTTCAGTTTTCAAATTTGGATCAAGGTAAGCTGGTACCAGCTCTGCTACCCCTAGTTCTTCCACTGAAATTGACAAACATGGAGTTATGTCAAACTCTTCTAATTACTATCATATTTCCGTTTTATATTTACTAAATATTAAAGAACTTTAATTGTATATATTAATAATGAAATTCACTTGACAATGTGATCACAACAAAGAGGAAATTATTTTGAATAACATCTTTAGGAAATTAGGAGATTGTTTGTCACAAGTTGACTTTTCCAATTACACTTATGGCCATGAATTAGCCAACTCTTCTATTTTTCAATAAATGCTTGAAAACTCCAACCTAACTACTAGAGAATGACTCAGGGAAAGTTGCATAATGCAGTTGAATGTTGTTTTCTTTGATAGGATGAATTCAGGGGTGGAGCTACGTGAGCGGAAGGGGTTCAGCCAAATTCTCGTCGCTAAAAATTACACTGTGTATATAAGATTATTATTTTTTTCTTCGTGTGTTTTTTTTATTTTATTTTTTGAATTCTCTCGATGAAAATCCTACTTCTGCTAATGGGCCAATGATCAGGGATCTCCATTTACTATTATTAAAATTAAACAATTTCTTAACCAACTCATGTTTTTGCAAAATTCCTCACGTCCAATAAAAAGTGAAAACAAGTCGATCGTTTCGCTATTCAAATTCACTAATCTACGAGAATTAACCATAGGCTGACCATGCATTTTCCATTTAAACTCTTTTGAGTAATAATAATAACCTTAAAAGGTAAAAGAAAACTATTCTTACCCCAGTAAACTCCAGCAGGAAAGATGCTGAAGTGACGCTACGAGCCATGCAAATTCATCCTTTTATGGACTTGTTTTTTCAATTTAACTTCATTACACGGACGGAAACTTTTCCAAATTAGCAAATCGACTAATTACAGGGCAAATGCAATTAACTTAGATATAGCAGCAGGAGCGAAGCGATGTGGGGCCAAGGTAATCAACTGAACACCATTTGCCGAAAAAATTATACCGTATATAAGAGTGACGGATTTAGAGTGGTGGAAGGGGTTCATCTGAATTCCCTTGCCGGAAAATTGTGCATATAGGATTAAATTTGATTTTTATTGATATATATATATTATATTTATAAAATGTTGCATTTCCTTGAAACAATACTAAAACTTAGCTTAGTGGTCAAGAGGGTTCAAACTTATTTAAGTGCCTAGGTTTGATCCCTGCTTCCCACCCATTGTAACTTTTTTTTTCTTTTTTCTTTTTTCTTTTTTCTTTTTTCTTTTTTTCTTTCTACACCTTTGAAAAGGTGAGGCAAATATGATTCTATTGTTGGCCTTCAACTGTGAACTTCTTTGTCTTATTGAATTATTAAAATAGTTGTTTTTGCAATTATCTTTTGCTCATTTTTTATTTTATTTATTATACATGATAATTTTTTTTGGCTTTTCTTCCTTAGAATGCCCTTTTTTACTACAATTTCACTTCTTTTGATGTGCAAAAAAGATTACTTCAAAACAAATCAATGTATAAGTTTTAATTCAACATATCATTAGCATGAGTTTCGACGATAGTTTAAATCTCATTTAGATTTGAATTTTTTTGATGTACCCGTTTGACATTACATTTAGATTCAAAAAGTTTCAATAAACCCATTCGCAGAAACTTTTTACGGTTCACTTCTTTACAATATTTAATTCTCTTGCATAAAATCTTGGATCCGCCACTGATATATATAGAGTAAAATATTACTTATTATATTTTGATAAGAAAAAATAGACTTTGAACACCCTTCATAATCCACCGACGAAGGATGTTAAAATTTAAACATTCTTATTGAATTTCCTGACTTCGCACTATATAAAAGGTTATAGTTTTATTCTTCAAGTTACCATATCAGACTTGTAATGAACTGTTATCTACTGTTGTTGTAGGTCAACTTCATTTGATAGACATAAAAATATATACAATCAGTGTATAAAACTTATATTTTCTTCTTAATACAAAAACAAACAAACAAACAAATAAACCAAAAAAAAAGGGGAAAAAGAGTGAGAGGAAATGATCAAATTTCATAAAAAAAAAAGAGAATTAAAAGTTACCTAAGATGTCTGGCGGCGTCTTGCCGTTGCAGAATCTTCCGGTGGGTATTCCACCATTGAAGTCCTTACCATAAGGTGGAAAATTACACTTTGCTAGTGTTATTATATCGTTATTATTTCCTTGATCTACAATTGAATCTCCAAATGCAAATACTGCTTTTACAACTACGTTCTTCGGCAACTGCACTTTCCCTTCACATGAGCTTATACTAAATAAAACAAAGAATATAACCAACATTATGTTGCAGAAATTCAGACACTTCCTTTTCAAGAATACAAACAAAAAGAAGTTCGAGGTTTGAAATGTCGGATTTGTGTAGCTAGTAATCAAGTTTTTGTTTATTTATAGAGACTAGGACAACATATTTTACTACTATATATGGAGAGCTAGAGTAAGCTAATGATGAATGGTGAGTGATAAGATTTAGCTAAATAATAGTAGTACTATAAAAGAAATAAATGTCCTTGTCAATTACTCCTTCCTGTCCAAAATAAGTGTTTTTTTGGCTTTTTTCTCGTGGTCCAAAATAAGTGATTTTTCCAGATTTCAAGAGTGAATTAATTATTTTTTTCCTACATTGCCCTTGGAGTAATTAATGTTGGAGTATGTGTTAGGAGTGCTTATGTGAAGAGATAGTGAAAGTTAATATGATCAATTTCATTGCTAATTAATGTTAAAAGATGAATTTCTTAATATGTGTGAAAACAATCAAAAAATCACTTATTTTGGACCGGAAGGAGTATTGCTTAGTCGTGATTAGACAGATCGAAAAAGTTTTACAACATGAAAAGGTTTACCTTTTGTAATTTTGCTACTTCATATGTATTTTGTGTAGAAAGATGTAGAGAAAGTAAACAGAATGGTTTGCATTTCTAATACAGTTATTTATATATATGTATAACAAATTATATATAATCTTTTAATAAAATAAAAGCATTATGCAGAATGATCCTATTATACAAAAATATTCTAAGAATCAAATACAATCCTTAAAATTATACTCTATCATTTTGAATGTTTCAAACTAAATATAGCAAACATAAATAAACCAATAATGCACACCGACATTGTTTTTGCCAGGACTATATGTATTCATAAATAAACCAATAGTGCACTACACGTTTCCTTTTTGAGCCTCTCATATTACTAGTTAACAATACATGGGAATTAGGCATTAGTCCGTATGTTTCTCGTATATCTAACTTTCATTTTATCCGAGACCACGCAATCAGAGGCGGAGCCAAAATTTCAAGCTTATGGGTTCGAGTTTTTAATTGTTTTAAGTTAATAGGTTCTAAACTAATAATTCATACATATTCAATGAATTTTTTAAGACAAATATATGTTTCGAACCAAAGCTACCGGGTTCGGCCAAACCCACGCTCGACTATCTACTCCGCCCCTGCACGCAATATTGATGGTTTAATACCTTTCACATTTTAATTAAACGTATTTTATTTAGTTTTAGTAAATTTAGGTGGAAAAAATATTATATCATCCATGGCATTTCAATATTGCATTTTTTTCTTTTATAAATGTACTCAGCTTAAAGCCTTGAGTAACTCTACGAATTGATCGAAATATTCTTATACCATAAAAATGAGGCTGTTTATTGCGCACAAAAAAGAATAAAAAAAAAAAAATAAGGAAGGAGAGAGGTCTAATATCAGCAGGATAAATTAATGTCGATTGTAGCCCAAAATTATGTTGGGGCTACTTTAATTAGCACGTTTAGTTGTTGAGGCCACTTTTAGCAACACGTTAATTTTCATTATTATCTTTTCTCATTAACTCTCATTATTTTACTTTTCTCAACTAAAATAATGAAAATTAACTCTCCAAATTTTCTTTTGAAATTACAGAATTCCTTTTAATAATCGCCAACAGTGTAAATCTAGAATTTAGACACAGTAAATTCTGAGTTGAGCGAATTTTGAATTTTATATTTTGCTTTTGCACACTATACATGCATATACTAGCACTCGATTTCGAAGCATTAGGTTTTGTCGAACCAACGAGCCCATTTGTGGGGCCCATTTGTGGGTCCTACTAGGGGGGCGGAACTAGAATTTTTACAAAAGGAATTTAAAATTTGAAGAAGTACACACAAAGAAGTCAAGGGAATTCAATAAAAAATAATTTTAACCTTGTATAAATAATGTAAGTTTCTAGCAAAGGGGATTCGGCCTTCTGTCAACCTGACTCAGCACAGCCTACCGATTCCCGAATGTGTTGTATTGATACCTCTTTGCTGGAAAATAATATTGTGTATATGATAATAGGCGAAATCTAGGTTATTTAGCTATTGTTTATGCTTCCGCTTGATTATATTCCAATGACATATTATGGTTAATTGATGAAAAATAGGCTCTAATTGTGATATGTATACATTGCAGGATGAGGAGCCTATATGATGCTCTCAAGAGGATATTGGAATGATTTATGAGCAAGAACAACCCCTCGGAGTTGAGTGCGCGCAAGGACGAGATGAAAAAATGGACGAAATCAAGCTACAGGTGTGCGAAGAAACGCGCGAAGCCGCGCAGGAGTTCGCGCGTAAGAAAGGCCGAGGCAGAATCAGGCGCGAAGAAACGCGCGAGCTCGCGTGTGTCCGGTTCGAAAAAATGTTATTTAGGGGTAAAATTGAAAATCTTGAGAGAAACCCCCTTAACCTATATAAAGTCAAGCTCGCCCAAGGTTAAAGGGGGAAGGTTTTCATAGTTTAGTGCAAGAAATAGAGAGGCAAGAGGCAAGAGGCAAGGAGGAGTTTTGACCATCAAGTTCTTCTTTTCTTCTCTTGTTTTTGCTATTTGATGAAATTGAACTTATTTGTGATGAACACTAGTATGAGTGGGTAAGACCCATTGTTCTAGGGTCATGGGTAAAACATGAATGTTGTTGTTTGAAGTTTAATTCGACAAAGTCGATTTATCATATTGGGTTGTTTATTAATTCTGTTCTTAATTATTTTGCTGAGTTGCTAACAGTGAAATACTATCTACGAATCTTTAGTTGAACTCGAAAGTGGGAACTTTAGATTGCATATAGAATTAAATAGAGCAAGTTCTTGAACCCGGGCCTCGGGGAACGGATTCACAATTGGGATAAACATATACCCAATTGCCTTGCTTGATTGATATACATGAATTGTAAATGCGTTCTTGTTAATCTTAATTCCATAGACATATAAGCATTGAGTTGAGTTGAATAGGCGAGTAAGAACTCGACAGATTCTTATGAGTAATATCAACCATGTCAATCAATAACCCAGATAAATTGATTAGTCATTTTAAGCCAAGAACACAACACGATTATTAACTATGCTCGTGACTCTGGAATATCCTCTCCTACTGTTTGTTACTCGAAATTGTTATTCGTTTGGTTACTTGCTTTAGTTAGATTAATTCTTTATAGTTTAAGTAGTAAAATAGTTACATCTCTCTTTTGTGAACAATCTCTTGGGTAGATAAAGAAATTGGGTTTGAATCAGTCAACAGTTAATCATAAGTCTTCGTGAGAACGACACTCTACTCACTACTCTATTACTTGACGATCACGTGCACTTGCGTGAGTGTTTTTGGTCGCAACAGTATAATTCATATTTTGACTTTCGTTACTAAAATCCTGGTTAATAGCTAGAAATATATGAGTTGGTAAAGTCTTGTTTTGAAGACGTAAATGCAAAACTTGAGATACTTAATTAGCTTGTCCGGCAAATAACCAGTAACAGATAATCAAGATTATTTTTTCTTAGACAAACAGAAACTTTGATTAATTAAGCACGAAAACTTGACAAATCTGGAATGATCCACCAGCTAATTAATTGGGTGTGTAGAAAATATGATGAGTCAAAACAACACAAATTTTGGGGATTTTCTCCGATTCCTATTATGGAAAAGAAAAGGTTAAACAATGCTAACGAGAAAGTTCTGAGAGTCAATTTTTTTCCTTAATCAAGTCTGATTAAGACATACGAACGAACTTACTTAATTGGGAAAATGACACTATATATATATATATAATCGCATTCAAAATAATAGCCGAAACATATATTACATTTTATATGTTATATACGAAAATATACATATTGTATACACTTTTCAGCTACCAAATGTAAATAGTTTATGTTGTAGGCTAAAGTGAAAAGCCCGTAATTTAATTTTAACAATTATATGCTAAAATGAGAATGCAATTACTTGCCTATTATTTATAACAAAAAAAATCCTTAAATCTTATTCTCAATAAATTTGCTTTATTAATCAATTGACCCAAAAAATTTCAAACTCATCCCGCAAGTACACTAAAATATAGGTTAGGAACAAATTTAAATCCTCTATAACATAACATTTTACTATAACGGTCTAAGTTTTCTTTGGAACTAATTTTTCTGTTATGTTATAAAATATATTTTCTACAATAGCACTTCACTATATCAACCAAAAAAATCCGAAATAAATAAAGTTATTATAAAGAGGTTTGACTGTATTTGGTCCAAAAGACGAGTTTGCTAAATCTCTTGATTAATTGTTGCAGAACCAGAAGTTATCAGTTTACCAACACGCAATTTTCACTTCCTTATTTCTAAAATATATCAGTCACATTATATATATATTTATTAGGAATTAATGAAAGCAGTCTTGTTGCTATCAACAATTCACCAATCACCATTTTAAATCTCTATACTTCTCTTCCTTTTCTCTTTTAAGAAAAACAAACTTTAGTAGTAATATGGAATTTCGTCCAAACATTACACCACACCTTTTCAATCATACAATAATATGGTAGCTGGAGTTAGTTGGTATAGTATTCACAATATAAGCTATTAATATCAAATACTAATTAACAGTAGAGTACGAATACTGAACATCGGATAGAAAACAAAAAAACACTATAAGCACTTCAAGCAAAATGAAATAAATGAACGTTTACCAGAATCTGAAAATTAGTTGGAGGAAACTCCCACTTAATTTTGATGTATTCTGTTCTCTTTTAAAATATTGGTTTATATATCTTATATATCTTTCTTTTCTATTAATAGAAAGAATTTATAGCTATAGCCTATATGCATTGAAAGTATAAAAAAAATTTATACCAAGAGTAAGTTTTACCTGCTGTAAAATGTCACCATATGTTTTGTAAGTAATCAACTCATGCTTGCTTTAGAAAGTTAGTTGTAATTGTATAAACAAAGATAAAAGGAAAAATAGAAGGATAAAAATTCATTAAATTGGTCATATGAAGAGACGATTATTTCTACCCACTCATGAAAAATGTTATAGTCAGAACTCTATATAACAGCATCCTTATATAACAATACTTCTCTATAAAAGCTAATTTTTTCCGGAATCAAATCTCATGTTTTATTATAATATATGTTTTCTAT